AGGGTTTGGGGTTGGGGTTGGGGTTTGGGGTTTGGGGTTGGGATTGGGGGATCTGGAGCTGGAGCGGTGGCGCGCTCACCAAGAAACACGGCATCTTCAGGGTTAATGGGACTGGGGTTTGGGGTTTGGGGTTCGGCATCTTCGGGGTTAATGGGATTTGGGACTGGGGTTTGGGGTTTGGCATCTTCGGGGTTAATGGGACTGGGGTTTGGGCTTTGGGGTTCGGCATCTTCAGGGTTAACGGGTTTGAGTTTGGGGCAGGTTTTGGGGTGGCTTTGTGGGGAATTGGGTGTTTTGGGGCAGCTCTGTGGGGGTTTGGGGTTTTTGGGGCGGTTTTGGGGGGATTTGGGTGTTTTGGGGCAGTTTTGTGGGGATTTGGGGTTTTCAGGGTGGCTTTGTGGGGGTTTGGGGTTTTTGGGGCAGTTTTGTGGGGATTTGGGGTTTTTGGGGCAGTTTTGTGGGGATTTGGGTGTTTTGGGGCAGCTCTGTGGGGATTTGGGGTTTTTGGGGCAGCTCTGTAGGGATTTGAGGTTTTTGGGGTGGCTCTGTGGGGATTTGGGTGTTTTGGGGCAGCTCTGTGAGGATTTGGGGTTTTTGGGGTGGCTCTGTGGGGATTTGGGGTTTTTGGGGCAGCTCTGTAGGGATTTGAGGTTTTTGGGGCGGCTCTGTGGGGATTTGAGGTTTTTGGGGCGGCTCTGTGGGGATTTGGGTGTTTTGGGGCAGCTCTGTGGGGATTTGGGGTTTTTGGGGCGGCTCTGTGAGGATTTGGGGTTTTCGGGGTGGTTTTGGGGTCGCTGAGCCTCTTGCCCCCACTTTAGAAGTACAAGAAGCCCAAGTTCATCCAGTGCTTCATCTTCGACGCCGCCGGGGCGCTGCTGACCGGGGACTCGGAGGGGAACATCCTCACCTGGACCCGCACCCCGGGCAAGGGGGGCAAAGGTGGGGCTGGGGTTTGGCGTGGGTCTGAGGTGGGATTTGGGGGGATTTGGGGTGATTTTAGGGGAATTTAGGGTGGGTTTGGGGGATGGTTTTTGGGTAGGTTTCAGGGGTTGATTTGGGCTCGTTTTTGTGGTGTTTTGGGGCTCATTTTGGGGTGTTTCGGAGTTGGTTTTAGAGCTGGTTTTGGGGGATCGCCTTGGTCTGTTTTTAGGGCTGGTTTTGGGGTGGATTTGGGGTATTTTGGGGCTGGTTTTAGGAGGCGGTTTTTGGCTGTGTTTGCGGTTGGTTTTAGGGTGTTTTGGGTCTGGTTCTAGGGCTGGTTTTGGGGTGGATTTGGGGCTGGTTTTAGGGGATGACTGGGCTGGTTTTGGGGTGGATTTGGGCTGTTTTGGGGCTGGTTTTGGGGGATGGCTTTGTGCTGGTTTTGGGGCTGGTTTTGGGGTGGATTTGGGCTGTTTTAGGGCTGGTTTTGGGGGATGGCT